AGTCTTGTTCTGTCACCCACGTTGGAGTTTAGTGACATGATCGCAGCTCACTGCAACCTCTGCCTCCCAGGTTCAAGCCTCCCTAACAGCTGGGATTACAGGTGCATGCCACCATGCCCAGCCAATTTTTTGTATTTTTAGTCAAGACAGCGTATCACCTTGTTGGCCAGGATGGTCTTGATCTCCTGACCTCGTGATCCACCCGCCTCGGCCTCCCAAAGTGCTAGGATTACAGGCGTGAGCCACTGCGCCCAGCCAGGGGCAGCTTTTCATATTGTTGTTTGGCTTTTATTTTAACTTCTGGCTAAAGCCTAGTGAACCATCAATACATTTGCTCCTGGAATTGTATTTATTTATTTATTTATTTATTTGAGACAGGGTCTCACTCCACTGCCCAGGCTGAGTGCAGTGCCATGATTGTGGCTGGCTGCAGTTTTGACTTCCTGAACTGGGGCAATCCTCCCATCTCAGCCTCCCAGGTGAAGCTGAAACCATAATCATGTGCCACCACACCATGGCTGACTTTTTAATTTTTTTGCAGAGATGGGGTCTCCCTATGTTGCCTAGGCTTTGAATTCCTGGACTCGAGCAATCCTCTCACTTCAGCCCTCTTAGTAGCTGGGACTACAGGCTTGCACCACCATGCCCAGCTAATTTTCGTGAGGTTTTTTGGTAGAGACAGGGTTTTGCCATGTTGTCCAGGCTGATCTCGGACTCATGGGCTCAAGTGATTTGCCTGCCTCAACCTCCCAAAGTGCTGGGATTACAGGCATGAGCCAGCATGCCTGGCTCATCTCATGTTTTTAAAGGAGGGAATTCTGGCTCTAGAATAGAGCTATGTTGACTGGTATTCCTGCAGAGACCAGGCAAATGGCATCTGTGCCTGAAGCAGGCCTGAGGGAACCAGAGAGAGCATCCACATCTAAAGGGGGCAGCTGTTACTCAGTAGCTCCAGAGTTGCCTGCTCTTCCCATTTTCCAAGAGAAGCCGGAAATCTGTATTTTTATGTGAAATTTCTCAATATTTAAACACTCTGCAGGCCAAACAAAACACAGCCACCAGTTTTGACCTTTGCTTTATAATAGAGAATGCCTGCTTTTGTTCCGTCAAACTAATGAATGCTCAATTACGAGAAGGAATTTGGAGGTTACTGTTAGATTGTGCTCCTCAAAAGGCAGCAGACCCCATCCCAAACCCTTGAGATACTAATTGACAGACTTGTGCAGGCTGACAGCTGGGCTCTGAAAGAGGACACACACAAGGAAACAGCCAAGCTATTCCAGGTCACTTTGCAAGGTCAGGGCAGCAATGCAAACATTAGGAAGGCCGAACACAAAGGTCAGGTGGCAGCAAGGAAGCCCTACATTCCCTTAAGCTGCCGGTTGATAAATCATATTCTAAAAGTATCACCAGACTCCCTCTCCCTGGCATTGCTTTGTGAGGTGGAAAATTAAATAGAAATCAAAATTAAGATGGCTGTCAGGAGCTTTTAGGAGGCCAGCATGCCAGTGTGAGGTGAACATGGGATGGAGTTTCTGCCTGGAGCAAAGGTCTCCAAAGGGATGATGATATCTGACACTGGGCATTGCAGAGGGCTGGCCGCTGCAGCAGTCACACACCAGAGCTTTGGAGGCCGCCTACCCATGTTCCAATGCCAATTCACCCCAGACGCACTAAGTGACCTTGGGCAAGTCACTTCTCTTTGTGCCTTAAGCACTTCATCTCTGCAGTGAGGATTATAGTACCTGCCCCAAAGGTTGTTGTGAGGCCTTAGAGTTAGAATGCATAAAGCACTTAGAACTTTGCCTGACAATTAAGGACTTAGGAGATACGCATTTTACTAGTGGTAGAGTATTGCTGTTAGTGTTGCTATGAGCTGTGGACCTTGCGTAAATGGCTCCTGGGAGCTTTCTTCTTTCCTTTTTTTGAGACAGGACTCTCGCTCTGTCACCCAGGCTGGAGGGCAGTGGTACGATCTCAGCTCACTGCAGTCTCCACCTCCCGGGTTCAAGCGATTCTCCTGCCTCAGCCTCCTGAGTAGCTGAGACTACAGGTACCCGCCACCATGCCCAGTTAATTTTTGTATTTTTAGTAGAGACGGGGTTTCACCATATTGTCCAGGCAGGTCTTGAACTCCTGACCTTGTGATCTGCCCACCTCGGCCTCCCAAAGTGCTGGGATTACAGGCATGAGCCACTGCGCCTGGCCCAGCTCCTGGGAACTTCCTTCAGTGTCACCAAGACACTGCATCTATGGACACTAAGCCGCAACCATTGCCACAAAAGTCATGCTCGCTCCATCCCAGTTTTGCCCTTCATGTTCCGTAGGGGAATCTAGGCCATAGAAACCTGCTATAGCTACAGCTATACAGTCATCATATGGAGCAGCGCCTTGGTAGGGAACGCAGAAAAGCCTTGTTTCTTCTTGCCTCCAGGATGGTCCTAGACCAGACCTCCCCGGTGGCTCCATAAGGGAATTGCACCTGGAGAATTGCACCACCCTCTCAAGGCAAGGAGCTCTCCCTAGGCCTGTGCTTGAGTGAGTGGTACTGCCCTCTAAGCCTTGCCACCTGTCTTTGCTTTTGCTGAGAGAGATCTTCAGAGCTTGCACCCGAAGATGGGTTTTGGCTTGCTGAAAAAGCACTTGTTTCTTGGAAGAATGCATGACCTTTTGATGGGCTGTGCACAGACATCTTTTCAATTTTAACAAAAACCAATCTTTCTCCAAATTTGTAGAATCCTGAGTATACATTTTTGTGCTTAAAGAAAACCATGGGGTCCACACTATTTCTGCAGCTGCAGAGAGAGAAGCCTACCAGACTCAAATGTTGGCAGAAACAAAGAGACGCCATGTTCCTTCCCACCTGCAATTATAGTTTTACTAGCTTGCAAAGCACACATAGAATTTGCAGTACATTCTTCCCTTGCAGTAGGGGAGAGGCCCTGCTGTGAATGTAATTGGCTTTCTAGCTTCCTTTAACATTGAGGTGGAAGGGAGCTGGGCTGAAGGGCCTTTACTCTTAGAATTAACTGATGTTGAATTGTGTTTAAATTCCATGCATCTCCCTGACTGCATTTGTTCCATTAAGTCTTAGTCAGAAGTGGAAGCACAGCTTACCTCTGAAAATATCCCCAGCCCTATCATTTCTCATCACTTTGTAAAAGCAGAGTTTCTTTCTTTTTAAAAAATGGATTTTTAACTTAACCCTCGTAGGGATTATTTTCCATCCTGTTAACCTCTGTTAAAGATGTATGGCATCTTTAAATGACGATTTCATACAGTACAGCCCATTTGGGTCACTTTTTATTCTGGCTTTGGCCTTGCAACTGTATCTGTTCCCAGGAAGAGGACCACGGGCATGTATTTGGATGGAAACTGTTTTTATTACTTTACTTCTGGAGTCCTCAGTTTTTTCATTCATGAAGTAAGAAGATTGGATTAAATCTTTACAGCCCCTTCCAGCTCTAGGGCCCTCGTTCTGTGATTTTATAAACCTTGAGAAGTGATGAAATTGTGGAAGTCTCTCTACATGTATTTGCTTTCTGGGGCCTCCCAGCCAGTTTGCACAAAGTATCCAGGCTTCTGGTTGCGGCAAGGAACCTGGAGTGAGAGCCAGGAACCTGGAGTGAGAGCCAGGTTACATTGCTGAATGTAGGCTCAGCACCTTCAGTTCTAACTGACAAATGGCTGGATTTCCATTTGCCAGAGGTCAACTATTTCAACTTTTTGTCAGGAAATAGCAGCTTTAAGCATTTTCACAAATATGATCTGAAGGACAGCTTATTAAAACAAGTTAAATATGCTGATTTTATATATTCCTTAAAGACAAATTGTCATCTTAGTACCCTGCAATTCGGCGGCAGTTAAAATAATGCCCAGTAAACAAAAGCTGGCCAGTAGAAATGTGCAGAAGATAATATTCCACCTAGTGGGTTTCCTCCTGAAACGGGCAGCACCAATCAGGTTATCTGGTGAACTCAGTTGGCATTTGTGTTTGGGCTAACAGCAGAGAGCCCGTTGCTGCTGAGGTTCGCAAGAGGTGAAGCTATTTAAGAACTTGGGCTATAAGGGACACTAAGGGAATGGGGCACCGGAAGGAAAGCGTTAGAGCTGAAGAACAAAGGAAATCAGGGGAAAGAGACTGTGAGAGGATTCTTGGCTAGAGCAGAGGTCAAGGGCACCGAGAGAAAGTAGGCTAGGCAATCACAGGTAATAAAACTTCTGATTTGAGTTTCACCTTTTTCTCTTTTCTCTGCCTATTGCCTGCTGGAGACAGGGACTGATCATCTGGCAGACAGGCAGAGGAGCTGAAGGGGCCAGGATCCTCAGCCTGTTTGCTCCATTCCTGACTTGGTATGGTGCAGTCTCACTGAAGGCAAGGGGCCTGCCTGGTTCACTGTCATTTTATAGCACTTAGCCCAGAGGAGAGAGGGAGGGATGGCCAGAAAACTCACGACCCAGGATGACAGCAACAGTTTATCCTTTAGCAAGTCACAGAATACCTCTGCCACTTAAAATCTTTCTTTGTAAAATGAGAAGGTTGTACTAAATAATTAGATTAATAATAGCTCCCTTTTATTATATGCTCAAGAAATGTTACTCACTTTTATTATCGAGTGCTTACTTTAGGCCAGACCCTGTCCTAAATCTACGTGGATTATGTCATTTAATCCACACAATAGCCCTATATAATATACCTATAATAATAGGTACTGTTATTATCCACGTTTCACCAGTGAGATTTACTTGTGCAAAGTCATCCAACTAAAGTGGAGGAGCTGGGATTCAAACCCAAGCTGTCCTGTTCTAGCACACATCCTGTTTTGTTACTTTTTAAAATTTTGTGTGAAATGTTTCAAACTTATTAAAACAAAGAAGAATGAATACTACCAGCTGCATGATTGCTCCTGCAGTGGAAGGACTCCCTTCTTTAGAGAAATGGGTACACACTCTGAACCTCTAAATTGGACTGTTTTCTCCCAGCACTCACATTCTCTATTTCTAGAGACAAACTGCTATCAGATTACCTGGCAGCAAAGCAAACCCCCCACCCCAACCACCACCATTTCTGAAACTCTACCACATCTTTCCACTGGGTAGAAGGAGGGAATAATGGGGCAAAGTGAGGGAAAGAAAAGAGCAAATGCACCCATGATTAGCCCTGGAGTGCCAGCACCATGCATGGCAAAAAACCCAGTGCTTGGATATTGGGATTGTATTGGTCAGGCCCAGCTTCCTGCCCAGTTTCCCCCAGATAGGCTGTCACTCCTAAAATTATTTTCAGGCCAGTTTTTTGTTTTGTTTTGTTTTGTTTTGAGACGGAGTCTCAGCTCTATCGCCCAGGCTGGAGTGTAGTGGCACAACCTCCGTTTCCTGGGTTCAAGCGAGTCTCCTGCCTTAGCCTCCCGAGTCGCTGGGATTACAGGTGCCCGCCACTACACCCAGCTAACTTTTTGTATTTTTAGTAGAGACGGGTTTCACCATGTTGACCAGGCTACTCTCGAACTCCTGACCACATGATTTGCCCGCCTCAGCCTCCCAAACTGCTGGGATTTTAGACGTGAGCCATCGCGCTTGACTACAGATCAGTTGTTTTGTTTTGTTTTGTTTTTTGGAAGTACAGGTCAGTTTTAACTAGTGTCATGGTAGTCAAAATATTTCATTGTGTTTACACCAATGACCTGTGGTCATCAAAAATAGCAAGATGCTAGAACAAAGGAACTGGATAATCCACAGAATATATTGCAATCCAAAAGAGAATGCAGCCTAATTAGGTATGGATTTATGATGCTGCGAATTTGCTTTTTGCTTTTTTCTTTACTTCTTTTTAAGACAGGGACCCTGTCACCCAGGCTGGAATGCAGTGGCATGATCCCAGCTTACTGCAGCCTCGACTTCCCAGGCTCAAGCAGTCCTGCCACTTCAGCCTCTCATGTAGCTGAAACTACAGCTGTGCACCACCACACTCAGCTAATTTTTTTAAATTTTTATTAGAGACAAGATCTTGCTATGTTTCCCAGTCTGGTCTCGAACTCCTGAGCTCAAGTGATCCTCCCACCTCAGCCTCCAAAAGTGCTGGGATTATAGGTGTGAGCCACTGCACCTGGCCTTACTTTTTGTTTTTGTTTTGTTTTTTCAAAATGTTCAGGTTAGCACCTTCTGTATCTATAGCTATGGCTGACCTGTGTCAGTGTGTGGTTTTGTATTAATAGCTGGCCCGATTCCAAAAAGGACTTTTGACATAGAGCTTCTCTCTCTCATGCATGTGTATGTATATTTATTCATAACTGTGACTAATTTTAATTCCTATCCCCTTCCATTGGTTTAAATTATTGACATATACACTTATCAAAGATGAGTTTTTGCTGCCCAGGATCCCGCGTGTCTGGAGTTCTGCTAGCATCGCTTCCCCCAATTTGTGGTTAGAAAACCCAACTTCTAAAATTGCCATCAGCCTAAAGGTTTCCCAGCCACGGGAAAGATAGCAAAAATCTCTGATGCAGCTGACATTTTAGGTGTGTGTATAATTTAACAAACTGTTGACCACTCAGCTTTTAGTCAATGGTCACAAAAGGAATTAGCAGCCCTCCCCTGCTCCCCCAAAACCCAAAGAAGGAAGGGTGTTCCTTGGCTTTGGCCCAGAGGCCTGCTGGCACGCAGTGTCAAACAGCAGCACAATGGTACATTTTGGCCACAAAAGGCTTTGGGGTGGCAGAAAGGGCCAAAATAGTTGTGGCATAAGTTGGCTAGGATATTAAGCAAATCTGAGTTTAATTTAACGTAGAGATAACAACCCTTTTTTTGTTTTCCAACTGGCTGCTGCTTTCTCTGTCTCCATGAGACCAAAGATTGGAGCCAGGAGTTAGTTCACGAGGGTATTCAAGTCCTTTCAAAGTGAGACATGCAGTGGTCTTTATACAGGCTTTCATGTTTGTCTGGGCAAGATGGAGTAAGGATAAAAAGGCACAGGGGTAGCTGGGGGAAACTGAAAATGGATCTTGAGGCTTGAATTCCTTCTATGAGTTTGCTTAAGCCACATCGCCTGAGCTTAGAATAGCGAGGCAGGCAGTCTGTCTCCTTGGGATAAGGAAGGATTTGGAACTCGGCGACTGTGAGGTCTTGGCCACTACTGTGTTTTCTGGTTTGTTTTGTTAACAGGAGCAAGTTATTCTAGTTTCTTGCTTCTGAGTTTTTCTTCGGCACACTTTAAGCAATGAGCCTCCACCCTACCGATGGCAATGGGGTGGATGGAATGGGATAATGAAAGGGGTGGCGAGAGAAGTTGATTCAGCTGCTGAGGAGGAGGGAGGCAAACTTCAGACCTTGGAACTAGCTTCTGAATCTATCAAGGGTGGAGAGGGAAGGGGGACCACAGGATTGAAATCATCTCAGCCTAGGAGAGAGGTTGAAGTCTTTCTGAGAAACTGATATGGCCAGCCATGCTAGTTAGGAAAACCAGCTTATTGTCTCAACGGCAATTTTATTACCCATGAAATGGTTAGCAGTGGAGGAGAAGCCGTAGTGTTTTGTGAAATGTAGCCAATCAAAAAGGATTATGATGCACCTAAAAAGATATCCTGTGTACATTTGCCACAAAAAGAAAAAGAATATCATCCCCTTTACAAAAATGATTATGAGCACCTCAGGAAAGTATTAACACTGCATGACTTATGGAGTGTATTTTACAGCCTTTTAAGTATTTGTTAAGTGCTAGGTACAATATACTGCAATGTGGTGAATTTGAGAAAAGTGTAAGACAACACACACATTCTAGATGGAAGTGTGCTGAGAGTACTCTGAACTGAGAGGAGAGGAATACAGTTAGGATGAAATGACCAGCCCCTCATACCCAGGCTCTAGAGGGGCTCACCTTGAAGAGCGTCCTCAGTTTCCAGGCTGGGAAGCCCAGGAGGGTGCAATTTTATGATTCTTGCCAAGACTGTGTTACGCCTCCCCCAAATAAAATGTCACCTGAGTTACTTAGTTCTCACGACTGCTTGCAAGAACTTTTAAAAAATAATCCATAAATTGCCAGGCACAGTGGCTGACACCTATAATCCCAGCACTTTGGGAGGCCGAGGTGGGCGGATCACCTGAGGTCGGAAGTTTGAGACCAGCCTGACCAACATGGAGAAACCCCATCTCTAGTAAAACTACAAAATTAGCCAGGCGTGGTGGTGGGTGCCTGTCATCCCAGCTACTAGGGAGGCTGAAGCAGGAGAATCGCTTGAACCAGGAGGCAGAGGTTGTGGTGAGCCAAGATCGCACCACTGCACTCTGACCTAGGCAACAAGAGCAAAACTCTGCCACAGAAAATAATAATGATAATAATAATCCATAAGTGAAAGATTCCAACCTTGGAAGCAAGTCTTTTTTTTTTTTTTTTTTTTTTTAAAGACGGGGCTTCACCATGTTGGTCAGGCTGGTCTTGAACCCCCGACCTCAGGTGATCCGCCCGCCTTGGCCTCCAAAGTGCTTGGATTACAGGCGTGAGCCACCACACCTGGCCAGAAGCAAGTCTTGATCTTATCTGTTCTGGACCCCAACCCTAAGAGCAGTGCCTGGGCAAGAGGAAGTGCCCCATAAATATGGGGTGAATAAATGAATCAGTTTTAGGAAGAGGTGGTAAGGGTTAGAATGAACTCAAAGGGGCTATCTGTTCATTCAAACTATGTTATTGCATAAGTGAGCATTTGTGAACTGAAAAACCTCTTTGTTTTTTTTCTCTAGGACTACTTGGTCCTGAGTTCAAGTAAACAATTGACTTTCAAGTAAATCTTTAAATAACCCTGGTCTATTGGTTAACTTCAGCATGCCCTCCGAAAAGCAGTTTAGCATAATAGTTGTGGGCAGAGAGCCTGGAACCAGACAGCTTGAGTTTACATATTAGCTGCACCCCTTACCTGCTGTGTGACCTTGAGAAATTTATTTAAACTTATTATGCCTCAGTTTTCTTTTCTGCAAAATGAGAATAATTAAAGTACCTACCTCACAAAGTTGTGAGATTAAGTAAGTTACAAATATGTGCAATGCTTAGAAGAGTGTTTGGCATATAGTAAATGCTCTATGACAGCTGCTATTCAAAGTCCCTTAACAAGAGTCACTTGATTTACAACTGTAATGAGGTTTTATCATATCCCCATGACCACAGATTGTTTCTCTCCTTTTTTTTATTCTGACCAGCAGTTAAAACTACCCCTGGATAGCAAGAACACCTTGAGTGATGTTAGAAACTATCCCAAATGTTACAAAGGGTATTTCCTGCATGAACAATTTGACATTTATTTCACATCCACCACCACTACTAATCTTTTTTAGTTTAGGTGGCCTCAATTTTTCCATCTCTGACGTGGATAATAATTTACTTCACATTACTGATAAGAAAACTAATAAAATATGTATTAAAATTTTATTGTTGTTAGCAAATAATTAAGTGTAATAAAAATGCTTTTTCAAATGGCCCAGCAAGAATTACTCATGCTGGCATTTTTTTAAAATACAACGACCGCAGTGGCTCACGCCTGTAATCCCAGCACTTTGGGAGGCCGAGGCAGGCAGATCAGGAGGTCAAGAGATCAAGACCATCCTGGCCAACATGGTAAAACCCCGTCTCTACTGAAAAATACAAAAACTAGCTGGGCGTGGTGGCGTGCGCCTGTAGTCCCAGCTACTCGGGAGCCTGAGGCAGGAGAATTGCTTGAACCTGGGAGGTGGAGGTTGCAGTGAGACAAGATCGTACCACTGCCCTCCAGCCTGGCACCTGGCAACAGAGCAAGACTCTGTCTCAAAAAATAAATAAACAAATAAATAAATAATAACAATGACAATAGTAGTTGATTTGCTTTGGTAATCATATCATCCCAAAGCAATACTATAAAGCTAAGCGACAATGGCCCAATAGAAGAAGCAAAAATAGCAATATGTAGCCATCATGATATAGAGTGAAATTCAAAATCAGTTTGGTGGATGATATTGCTAGCAACTGAGCCCTTAAATGATGGCCTTTTCTATTGTC